CAAACCCTCTATAACGTATGTAGACATACAAAGTAAGGGGAAGAGGCCTACAAACCCTCTATAACGTATGTAGACATACAAAGTAAGGGGAAGAGGCCTACAAACCCTCTATAACGTATGTAGACATACAAAGTAAGGGGTAGAGGCCTTCAAAACCTCTATAACGAATGAAGACATATACAATTAGGGGTAGAGGCCTCCAAACCCCCTACAGCGGAGACAACAGACATTTTCTTTCTAAATAGTAGTTCATGCTAAGCGTACCAGAATGAAATTAAGCTGCAAGGTTATAGCAACCATCAAAGACAGATAGTCCACCACTGCGACTAAATAATTACTGAAAATACCAAGAAAGGAGCATCTATTTAAAAATTGAAGACGTCAATGTAGAATGCCAAAGAACTTGAAATTTTAATTCACGATATGAGCTTTTCAGTTCAATTCAATTAGGAGCTATAGCTGGTACACTGTACACTAGGTCGTGTCAAGGCCGAGAAGAATGCCTTCATCTGCATGCTGCTGTATATTTAAGAATACATGGGCCTATGGGCAATGTAGTAGTCGAAAATACATAGTAGTTCTTTCATTTTCTTATTTTATATTTTGGCGTTTTCGTGATAATTAGAAATTGCCAAAACATGAAAATTGCTCAATGATATATAATTTAAACTGTATCCATGTTCATTTTCGATCACTTCAGCAGTAAAATTCTTAACCGAATCCATACTAGCATGTGCTTCAGTTTCAATCTCTAACAAATTAATTACTGTCCGTTCTCAAGATTTCCCTTGGATGCACAATAATATAAGAACATTAATAAGGTCACGTAAACGTATCCATAGAAAGCTAAGCGTACTCAGAACCAAGTTCATTGGAATAGGTTTAAACAGTTAAGAAATGCTTGTGTTGATGCTATATGAAAAGCTAAGGCAGAATATTTTAGTAAACTAGCTGATAAACAAAGCTTACAAAATCTTCTTCACGGGAATGGTGGACAATAGCTAACGAGTTTACTGGGTTTTAAAAGAAATCTTCGTCTATCCCTCCTTTATTATGTAATGACGTGGTAATTAACGATGATCAATGTAAAGCTGAAGCATTTAACACCTACTTCTCTGAACAGTCCACTATAAATAGTTCACAAGCTACACTTCCTTTAGAAAATGCATTTCCTCTCCCACATCTAGACACACTCAATATAACACCACAAGATGTCAGCGATGCAATCAGTATTCTTGGTGTTTCAAAGGCAACCGGTCCTGACTTAATACACGGTAAACTTTTAACAGAAGGGAAAGATAAAGTATGTGAGCCACTTTGTTGTATTTTCAATAAGTCTATAAATGATAGTATTTATCCAGACAGTTGCTAATGTGACACCCGTTTTTAAAAAAGGTGACAAAACTATTGTGTCTAATTACAGACCCATTTCTCTCATAAGTATTGTCGGCAAGCTAATGGAACGTTGTGTTTTTAAATATGTCTACAATTTTCTCAGGGAAAAACATTTTGTTTACAGAACATCAGTCTGGTT